TTAGGTCTCAAAGCCTTCTCAGTGCTGTTGCAAAGGTGTTTGTTGAATGGATAGTAACCACAGATAAGCTAGAGGATCCACACTGATACTTGGCCAACTTTTTGAAGTTCAAATTGGAGTGAAAGATTAAATAGTGCTTACTTCACCATCCGTACAAAAGGATACAGAATAAATGGTGATCATCTTACATGTATGACATCTATGGCAGTTAGGTTTTGTGCCATAAAAAACCACTCCTAAACTTTGTAGTTAGCTCAGCATTCTCTGAGTTGACAGTTTCATCTGGGCTCAGCTGCGTGGTTCTTCTGGTGTCCCTAGGCTCACCCATGCATCTCTGGTTAGCTGTGGGTGGGCAAGGCGCTGGCTAGTCTAGGATAGCCTGTCTCTGCTCTTAGCACCTTACCTCCAGCAGGTTATCCTGGGCACAGTTTCTGGGCAGGGCTCAAGACCACTTGAGGGCTATGGCTTAGACTATTTCACCATCATTTCTGCTGCAATCTATCAGCCAAAGCAAATCACAAGGGCAGATGAAACTCAAGAAGTAGGAAAATGACCCCATCTTTTGGTGGGAGGAGATTCAGTCCTGATGATAATGTTCTAAGCCTTAGCCGCAAAAGGCCTTGCACTCTCTCTCTTGAGACCTTACCACCACAATGAGAGAAAGCCTGCATTAACCTGCAGGAGAATGAGCAACCATGTGGAAGAGAGTACAGCTGTCCTGTTGAAGCCATCCTAGACTAGTCTACAGTCTGCCAACTCTCAAACATGAAGGAGAGTGCAGCAAAGACCAGCAGAGTTGCTGCGCTACCCACATGAGTGAGCTGATCGAAGACCAGAGGGTAATAACAAATTCTTATTATTTTAATCCACTGGGTCTTGGGGAGGTTTGTTATGAATCAACAGCTAATCTATAGAAAACTTATTACCAATCTGCCAACTAATCTGTATGTTGTTCCAAAGTAATATTTTAGTTGTCACTTTTTATTTACTGTCGAATGTATTTCCTTGATTCACTCATTTATATGCACAGTCGCTCTCTTTCTTTCTCATTCTTCTAATGTCCAGTGGCAAGTTTCTGCATTCATGCTTTTTGAACGAAGAATATAGCCCACAGCTAGGGTCAGCTGTATCTCCTGTTTTCAGCAGAATCAATGGGCAGAGCACAGCCTCTGCAGCCAGACAGACCCAGGTTTAATCCTGGTTCTGACACTGACTGATAGTATGTCTGTCTGATACTGATACTGATACTTTGACTGATACTTTGTCTGATACTGACTGGTAGTATATCTTTGGGCAAGTTTCTTTATCTGTAAGATGAAGATAAAGATGCAAACTTAGGGCCCTCCCACGTAAAGCTGTCCAGGTTGTGTACTGTACAAGTCCAAATGTCATCAACTGTTGTTCTTCAGTACACAATCTTCATGGCTGGATGTGGCAGCCATAGGTTGTTTGGGGTAAATATGAGATGCTTTGTACATAATAAGCATTTAATAAAGGTTAGGTCTCCTTCCTCTGTCTTCCAACTTACATACGTAATACTAAAACCTGGAACAACTGGCAGTCCAAGCCCTCACCCAGGGGCTGGCAAACTATGGGGCAAAGGCCAACTCAGGCCCATTGTGTGTTTTTGTAAATAAAGTTTTATTGGAACACAGCCACACCCATGTCTATGGCTGCTTCTGCTTTACAGTTACGAGGCGAGCAATTGTAACAGGACTTATGGCCCATACAGCCTAAATTATTTATGATCTGGCCCTTTACAGGAAAACCCAGCAATAACTTCCTGCACCTCAAATTTTTATTGCACACTACCCATACCACATTTATTGCATATTACCCAGAAATCTTATTTAAAATACAGATTCTTGGATCCTACCTACCAGAGATGCTGGGTGAGGCCGGAGAAGCTGCATTTATAACAAACCCCCATGTGACGCTGATGCTCCCAGTTTAGGGCCCACACTCAGGTGGCACTGCTCTAACCATCCAAGGTAATTTAATTGTATTAAATCCTTATTTTTAAAATGGCAAGGTATTAATAGGCTAAAAACCCATAAAAACTCAAGCCACTTTGTGAAAAATCTCAAAATTGTGCCTTAGGAATTGACCAGTTAGCAACTGCATGCCATTTTAAGTACAAGGTTCCTTATAGATAATTCATGTTTATTCACAGGAGGGAAAAGCTCATCTAGGCCAAAGACAGTAGCCAGCAGCCAAAGTCTGAAATCAAAACACAAAAACAAAATAAAGAATATATCTCAGGCTTTAATTCTTAGACCGTGTACAAAATGAAAAATCCATCTCAAGTTTTTCTTAACTTAGAAGGCTTTGCTCTACCTAACTGTGCCATTTGTCGAATTCTCTCTGAAATCTTTAATAATGGCGCACTCCATGACAACCACATATTCCATGGCTCAAAATAATTTCTATTTTTCCCACTAATAACAGATTGCAGATGCTCTCCTGGCAGTCCTCAAGATTCAGACCGATCGCAAACGAAGCAGCCTACTTCAGGTGTCCTGGGTCAGATCTGTTGTGATCCAATGAATAATATTGAAAATCATCCTATAATGAGCCTTTATAAATTATTATAATTAAACTGATTGTTATTAGACTACCCTTCCTTGATCTCTAATTTAATTTTCTGTAATGATTTCATTCTTCTACCCATCTTTCTACTTCACTGCTTAGAATAAAAAGAGCAAATCACTTCCTTTTAAAATTGCATAACTTACCTTCGTTTTATCTTGATGGTTTGGATTATACTTTTTCTTAGTAGAAAAATGACCTGAATGTTATTTTGAGTCTGTTTAACTATAGAGAAGCCTCAAGGAGCAAGAGACCCTTAAATGACTATGAAAGAGTTTACAGTCACTTCAGCATCCAGTCCAAAGGTATAAGGGTAAAAGTAAATGTGGGAGCTGAGATGGGACACCTGGAACAAAAATCCTACACTCCACGTGCAGATTTAGAGATTTATGAGCTCTTACAATGAAACCCACACCCACACGCTCTAACGGAACTGTCCTTAGATCTCCTAAAGTGTTCCTGAAGTAAATCTCTGTGCCAACTGGAGTATTAGAAAAAAGAAGTGTGTTGGATGGAGAAAAATCTGATTTATATGCTGGTTCTTCTTCCCTCTTTCTTTATTCCCTCTCTTCCTTCCTTCTTCCTTTCTTTTTGCTGCAATTCCTTGAGTAGTTTTCCTAATCTAGTAGCTATAGCTCTTTCACTTTTAAAATAGAGATTGAAAATCCCTACCTCATAAATTTACAAATCCTGTTGGGATCATGGTTTGATGGAAACAATTGTCTGTAATTCTATTTTTTCCTTTCTGCTTTTCTACATTTCCCAAATTTTCTGCACTGGATACATTTCTAGGATAAACTTGAGAGGCAGCATATAGCATAGTATTGAGGAACATGGACTTCTTCGGAGTGCCTGGGTTCATATTTTGCTCCACTACTTACTAATTGTGTGACGTCAGGCAGCTAAGCAATCTATCCATGCCTTAATTTGTCACTCTGTAAAATAGAAATAAAAGAAGCATCCTACTTCATTGGATTTTTTTGAGGATAAATTAATTAAATTTAGTGAAAATCTCATGGAAAATGCTCAGTAAGTGTTCTTCATCATCATCATCACTTTCGTTACTTTGCTGATTATAAAATTAGTGTGCTATTCATTTAATCCTCTCTGTCCTTGGCATATACCTTACCATATAGAACCCAACTCTTATCGACTATGTTTTCTACCTCCTGGACATTTACATTTACATTCTTTTCTTAATGCAAACAGAATTTGGTTTGATGGATGATCCAGCTTTCTGGGATCACCTCCCAAATAAATACTTGTCTTTGAATTCTTGTTTCAGGGTCTGCTTCTGGACTTGGTCTGCTTCTGGACTTAGTCTGCTTCTCAGACTAAGACTAAGTATATTTAGTGCTGAGAATGCGAAATGGAAGGAAATATGGATAAACCTAAAATTAATAGCAGACTACCTAGGACATAGCAGAGAGCCCAGTGGAATGAAAGAGAGATGACTGAACTCTGCAAGCAGAACTTGAAGGCATGAATGGGCTCGTTCACTACTCCTGTGTGCAGGGAAAGGTAGAGGTGGGGTCAGTTTGGATCATACTAGTGGTTCTGTGATATAAGCTAGCTCCCAGAGATGACCGTGAGTGGAAATATCATCAGAACTTTTCTCAGAGTACACTTGGTACTACTGTCCAGTTTAAAACCAAAGCAGGGGATGTAAATAGGAAGTTCATAAAAGCAGAATGAGATGAGGTCATCTGTAGAAGTCATGAGAAACACATAAACTTATCATAAATTTAAATGCCTCTAAAAACAAATGCCTGATTCTTTTTCTGGCAGTATTGAAATTTACAAAACCAGACTGCCCTTCTTACTGAAAAAAATTTAAAATGCTAGCTAAAATATAAATAACATATTTTTGCATGCAAGCATGAGTGGGCGAGAAAGTCTGGAATTCTCGGAGGCCAAACATTGATTAAGAGCAGGAATCCATACAGGCCAGCAGAGGGTCAAGGCCAGCTTTAGCCTAAGGGCATTTGCAAGTCCAAGGGAACTTAAGAGTTGGTGGGTTTCACAGCTTGGTTTGGGGATAGGCTTCGCTGGCATGAGGTGACAATGTCAGAGCTCACACATAAAATGGGGTCTACAAAGAACTACACTCAGAGAAAAGATAAATGAAAAAAAAATTGTCCTCATTGCCTACCCTCTCCGAACCATCCCACACTTCACATCACATGGCTCAGCAAGGAAAGTTGATCGTCTCAGACCTTGACACTGGATGGAAAAGAGAAACATCCCCTGAGAGACTATAGTCACAAGATGTTCCTCTCATAGGTTTGCAATCCAATTCACACTATCTGCATGGTCTGAAAAATCTCAAGCTGAGAATTTAGCTTAAAGTTGTGTTTTTAGAGTAAGAGTATCTGCTTTAGTAAATAAATCCCGAAATATCAGTGGCTTGACACAACTCACATTTATTTCTTGCTTACACCACATCCAATTGCCAGAGGGCAGGGGCTGGAGGTGAGGAGCTCTCTAACAGAGGCACCTCTGTCTTCATTACGTGGCTGATAAGGGCTCTCTGAGAATCTGCATCTACCTGTCAGGGGAAGAAGGAGAGAATTCTGTGGGGGGATATTAAGGGGTGATGCAGTAGAATATTAACAATGGTCCCCAAGGAATCATGTCTCCCTATGCCCATGGCCATTCACATTGTGACTTTGAAAGCTTCTCCCATGAAGAGCTGGAATCTACTTCCCCACCCCTTGCATCTGGGTTGGACTTAAGACTCGTGTTGGCCAATAGAATGTGGTAGAGACAACCTTCTGGGGCTTCTGAGCTCAAGCCTTAACAGGGCTGGCAGCATCCACATTTTCCTTCTGAGATCCCAGCTGCCATGTTGAAAGGATATCCAGGCAATCCTGCTGGAGAGAGAGACCACGTAGAGGCCATGAGGTATGGGATGGCACGTGGAGAGACAAGCCACAAAGGGGAGAATCATGGCACAGTGAGTAACAAGGGCCCAGATGTGTGAGAGAGACCATCTTAGGCTTTTCAGCCCAATCCAGCTTACAGTGTAATGTCACATAACTGAGCCCAGGAAAGAGTAGTAAAATACTGCCCAGTGAACTGACAGGTTCATGAGAAATAATAAAATGGTGGTTGTTTTAAGGGACTGGGCCCTGGGGTTGTTGTGAAATAGTAGTAGGTAACTAAAACAGGTCTTCATTCAGTGGCGAGGTTTTTATGAACTAGGTTTGAAAATGGATGCATCCCTCCACTCGTGTTCATTGACAAGAACTCAGGCTCAATGCCACATCCACCTCCATTGATGGCTGGGAAATAGAGTCTAGCTATGTACCTAGGACGAGGAAGAAAATGTTTTGGTGGACAACTAGCTTGTTTCTGCCACAGAAATGGTCCCTGTTCCACTGTTCCCAAGCACTTAGCACAGGCAGAAACAGATAGTGTCTGAAGGAATTTACCTTTACTCCAGGCTTCAAAGAATTAGAACAAAGTTCGAAACAAGCCTAAAGATGAAGGAGACATAACTCTGGGTATTACGACTATTCAACAACAACACAAGAGAATGCTACGCCAAAGCAATTGAAAATAAACAATTTCCCCCAGATAATGATGTATCCACACTGACTCAAGAGTAATAGGAAATCTGAGTGACTCAGGAGTAGTAGGAAATCTGAGTAGCTCTATAACCATTGAAGATAAGGAATCAGCACTTAAAAGAGTCTCCACAAAGAAAATCTCAGATCCTAACAGATCTGTGGGCAAGTTCTAACAAAGATTCGAAGAAATGATAATTTAAACATTACTCATGCTCTTCAAAAGAACAACAAAAGAAAGAATATCCTCCAACATTTTACGAGGTGAGTACAATCATGTCACAAAAACCAACAAGGAGCTCAGAGAGTGGAAATTTACAGGATATTCTCATTCATGGACATATGTATAAAAATCCAAGGGGCTGGCTCTGTGACTGAGTGGTTAAGTTCACATACTCTGCTTCAGCGGCTCAGCATTCACTGGTTCAGATCCTGGGCGCAGACCTACGCACCGATCATCAAGCCATGCTGTGGTGGCATCCCACATAGAAGAACTAGAATGACCTACAGCCAGGATATACAACTATGTACTGGGGCTTTGAGGAGAAAAAAAAAGAAGATTGGCAGCAGATGTTAGCTCAGGGCTAATCTTCAAAAAAAAAACCCAAGAGAAAATTATAGCAAACCAAATTGAGCAGAATATAGAAAAGATACATCATGACCAAGTTGGATTGATCCTAGAAATGTGAGGTCGATTAAAAAACATATGTATATATATGTGTATAAATTAATAAAATTCACTACATTGACAGATTAAAAGAGTCCAGTTTCCAGTCTGGTATATAAGGAGCTTGGAAGTAATCACTCTGTCCTAACAACAAGTAAAAAGTTGAACAAACTAAAAATCAACAACTCTTCTTAGATACATTAGAGAGTTGAGGTCACAGGGCAAACTGTTGCCCAAAATACTGGGGACACAGACAGGCAGGTAGAGAGAATCACAACTTACAGGAACAGAAAGCTCTGCAGGAACCAGTGCCTGGGTAGGAAGACCTCAACAGTAGTTGCTGAATTGTTGGAGGCTCAGTGTGGATAAGACTGAGAGTTAAAAACTCTGGGGGGGGGCCACAGTCTTGTTGGGGGGAGGAGCACACTTTTGTGAGTTTTACCTCCTGGGGTTCTATCAGGTTCTCACAGTGAAGATAGGAGGAACAAACCCTCAAGCTTTCAGCAGGGGAGGGAGAAAGTGCCCTTTTGACATATGCCAGAGCATTCTGTTCTTCCTAACAAGGCTTGCCCTCAGGAGAAACTGTTTAACCAGAGCCTAAACTATTGGGGTTTTATCAGAGCCTAAGTGACCTGGAGGAAGGTCAGTTCCCATCTCCAGTTCCCTGTAGCCATCCTGTCCCTTCTAAGTGGGAGAAAAAACTGAGAGGCACTTGAGAAGTTGACAGTCCAAGGGCACAGACTCATTAGAAGACCGAAACTTATCAAAGGATTATAGAATGTTTCCCCTCCCCGACACCTTACCACCACATTAGGAAGGCCTATTTACGGCAGTTTCTTTTAGCTAGTACATCACGTCCAGCTATCAACAAAAAAATGACAAGGCGTACTACAGGCAAACAAAAGCACAGTTTGAAGAGACAGAGCAAGCATCAAAACCACAGCCACATATGGCAGGAAGGTTGGGATTACCAGAGGAGCAATTTAAAATAATGATTAATACGCTACGGGCTTTAATGGAAAAAATACACAACATGCAAGAACAGATGGGTAATGTAGGCAAAGAGATGGAAATTCTAAGAAAGAACCAAAAAGAAAAATGCTAGAGATCAAAACACTATAACAGAAATGAAGAATACTTTTGATGAACTTATTAACAGACTGGACATGGCTGAGGAAAGAATCTCTAAGTTTAAGGATATGTGAATAGAAACTGAAAAAGCACAGAGAAAAAAAGACTGAAGAAAACAGAACAGAATATCCAAGAACTGTGGGACAACTACAAAAGGTATAACATACCCATGATGAGAATACTAGAAAAAGAAGAGAGAAAGGAATGGAAGAAATATTTGAAGCAATAATGATTGAAAATTTCCTCAAGTTTGCATCAGACACCAAACAACAGATTCAGGCAGCTCATAGAACACCAAGCAGGAAAAATGCCAAAAACAAAACAAAACAAAACACCTACACTGGACAGATCATATTCAAACTGCAGAAAAATCAAAGATACAGAAAAAATCTTGACAGAAGCCAGAGGAAGAATGCTTTACCTATAGAGGAGCAGTGATAAGAATAATATCCATCTTCTCCTGAGAAACCATGTAAACAAGTAAGTGAAGTGAAATATGTAAAGTGTTAAAAGAAAAAATCCACCAACCTAGAATTCTGTATTCTGCAAAATTATCCTCTAAAAATGAAAGAGAAACAAAGATTTTCTCAATTTTTGTTTTCTCAAGTTTCTGTTGCCAGTAGAACTACCTCACAAGAAATGTTAAAAAGAAGCTCTTTAAAGAGAAATGAAATGATATAGATCAAAAACTCAGATCTACATAAAGAAAGGAAGAGCATTAGAGAAGGAAAAATGTAATAAATAAAGGTGAAAAGATCAAAAGAGAAAAATATGAAAATAATCTTAATAGATTTAGAAAGGATGTTGGATGAAATTAAGTTTACATTTATTATATTTGTTTAAAAAAAACTTCTGGATGAAGGAATAGAAAAAAATTGTGTTAATTTGATAAAGTATCTTAAGAGAAAGAAAGGAAAGAAGGAAGCAAGAAGGGAGGGAGAAAAGAAGGAAGGAAGGACTGTGACAAGCACTTAATTTTATGTAAACATTTTAATATGTTTAAGAACAAGAAAGAGGAAAAGAAAAAAAGGCCTGCTGTCACCACTTCTATGTAATATTATCCAGTAAAGTAAAGAAAGAAAGAAAACTAGAAAGCATAAGGGTTGGAAGGAAAGAAAATTAAGCTGCCATAATTTAGAGCTGACATGATTGTCTACAGAAAATTTCCCCAAAATCTATAGCGTATCATTATAATGAATAAGAAGATTTAGCAAGTTTGCTGGAACGAAATCAACATAGAGAATTTAATTGCATTTCTATAAACCATCAATAGTAGATAGAAAGCATGATTGGTCAAAAAAACATCTAAAATAAAAATTAGTACTAGCTTGTGACTTTTCACAAAACAGATAGCTGCAATATTGATTGAATTTTTTTTGAATATATAGATCTAACTGGGAAGAATTGATGTCTTAAGAATATTACATGCTCGGGGCCAGCCCCCTTGTGTAGTGGTTGACTTTTGCACAGTCTGTTCTGGTGGCCCACACTCGCAGGTTCGGATGCTGGGCATGAATCTACACCACTCGTCAGTGCTGCTGAGGCAGCAACCCACATATAAAGTGGAGGAAGACTGACACAGATATTAGCTCAAAGCTAATCCCCCTCAAGCAAAAAAAGAGGAAGATTGGCAAAAATGGTATATCCCTTCTTTTATTTAGGTCTTCTCTGATTTCCCTCAGCAATGTTTAGAGATTTAATTGTACAGTTCGATCACATATTATCAAGTTAAAGTTGTCCTTAAGTATTTCATGTTTTTATGCTATTGTATATGGTAGATTTTCCATTTCATTTTCCAGTTGTTCATTACTAAATTCACTTATTTCCAGTAGCTTTTATTCTTTGGTTATTACAGAGATGACACTATACATCAGCAGAGAAAGATTAAGATTTTAACAATTGGTTATCCTTACGGGAAAAAATGCTTCACACACACACAATTCTCAAGGAATTAAAAATTCGAGTGTGAGAGGCAAAACTATAAAATTTTCAGGAGACAGTCCAGAAAACCATATGTATGATATCACGATAAGGAAGAATTTCTTAAATAAGATACAGAAAGTTCAATCAATGAAGAAAAAGATTAATAAACTTGGATACATTAAAATTTCCTCCTGATAGAATAGGGGTCAGGATCTCACACTCTAGAGACTAATTGCTCTACGTGTGAATCCTGGCTCT